CACACACACCCACACACAGCACCTAGCTGGGTGAACCTTCTGCTCTCCAACATCGGCAAGTTTGGTGCCACTGGAGGTTTCTCAACGATCTACGTATTCTCTGCGGAGCTGTTCCCCACGTCCATGAGGAACTCTGTGGTGGGAGCCAGCTCTATGATAGCCAGGGTGGGGGGCATGGTGGCTCCCTACGTCGCTGATCTGGTGAGCGGGTCGTTCGTGTTCGGATTGGTTGTTCGTGGATGGCGATGTCGACATTTCTTTTTAATGTTGTTTTTGAACCTTGCTACACTCGTTCATATCCGTGGTAGCTTTTGTCTACATCTGGTTTTCCTTGTTTTTTGGTCGTCTTTGGTTTGTTTTTTGGTGCTTTTTTTTCTTGTTTCTCTTGCTTTTCCTGTTTCTCTTGTTTGTTTCTTTTTCATGGGTTTTTTTGTTGTTGTTTTTCTTGTCTGTTTTTTTTTTCATGTTTTCCTTGTGTCTCTTGTTTGTTTGTTGTTGTTTTTTCATGTTTTTCTTGTTTCTCTTGTTTTTCCAATTTTTCTTGTTCTTGTTCTTTTTATTGTTTCTCCTTTTTTTGTTCCTCTTGTTTTTCTTGCTTCTCGTATTGTTGCTTTTTGTGTTTCTCTTGGGGGGTTTTTCTTGTTCTTTTTTAGGGTTTTCTCTTTTGTTTCTCTTGGGGATTTTATTGTTTTGTTCCTGTTGTTTTTCGTGTTTCCCTTGTCTTTCTTGTTCTTGTTCTTCTTCTTTTCGCCTTGCTAGTTGGTTTACCTTCGTACGTCCAAGTCCTGGGTATTTACCACAACCCTGATGGTACTCCTATCACTGCCAATTAGTGTACTTCTTCTTTTTCCGTTTAGTCTCCAGTAGTCCTACCACGTATGATAGATATAGGACAATCTCTAATCAATCTACTCTAAATGCCGTCATCATCGTCGTCGTTGTCTGTGCAGGGTATTCTGGTGGGCGGTTCGTTCGGGGCCGCCCTGCCGTACATTGTGTGCGGGGCGAGCGCTCTAGTGGCATTAAATAAAGATGGTTCCAGTAGGGAACGGGATAGAGGGTGCCTACGTCCCTCGTGACTCACTGGAGCAGAGAAAGATAAGACTAACGCTAACATTACTTAAACGCAATCCCTCATCATCACTCATCACCACCAGTATTTCACCTCTATCTTACGCACTTTTGTCTACTAATCAGATGGCATCAGTCTCATATAAATTGGCAAGGGACATCAAAAGTGTCCGTCTTACACACAGGTGGACGTCTACACACACAAATAAAACTCACTCTAAATATCGTCTTCAACGTCGTCGTTTCTGTCTATGCAGGGTATCCTGGTGGGCGGTTCGTTCGGGGCTGCCCTGCCGTACATCGTGTTCGGGGCGAGCGCTCTCGTGGCTGGACTCATGGCTCTATCCCTGCCCGAGACACTCGGCGAGACGCTGCCGGAGACCATCGAAGACGCCATAAATTTCGGAGGGTATGGACATAGCTTAATATTATTATATTATGTGTGTTCTCCCGAGATGGGATTTGGGTTCTTGTTTTTGTTTAGATTTGTTCTTTTGTTGGTTTCTAAAAATTGCTTTGTGTTTGTTTTGTTTGTTTATTTATTTTGTATGTTTGTTTGTTTTTTTAGCTTTAAAGCAGTGTGCATTTATTTATCTAGTTGGGTCGAAAGGATCGAATCAGATCAGCGAAGGATGATTGGGTCGGGTTGGGTCGGGAGGATTGGATCGGATCTGTTCTGGAGGATTGTGTCGGATCTAATCGAATCGGGAGTTCAGAATCAGTTTGGGTTTGAAGGATAGATCGTGTCGGATGTGGCAGGCAGGGCTGTGCACCCTTATCAAACTTACTAACTTCTGTTTTGCTTCAACAAGACTGAGGTGTTGACACCACAATGGCCCGGTGCAATTTTTGAATGGATATAAATAACTAAACAAGGAATGTACAACTCAACCACCCCCTCCCCTCCCCCAAACTGAAATATAACATTGTGCAACTTTGTTTGTAAGACACAAATTCTACAAGCTCAAAAGGATGTTTTAGTCAAGTAACAGGGGATTAGAGCGACGACAGACTGAGACAGAGAGAGGGAGAGAGAGAGAGAGAGAGAGAGAGAGAGAGAGAGAGAGAGAACTATGGGGGGAGAAAGAGATAGAGGGGGGAGGGAGAGAGAGCGAGAAAGGGGATGGGAGATTGAAGAAAAGAGAAGACGTAAATATAGAGGGAGCAAGATTTATCATTTGTACTTAGGCCTATTTTTCTTTTATTTTTCTCTAGGAAGAACAAAAAGATCTACGAACAAAATCTGGAACCACCCATGACAAACGGACTCAAAGAAAAGGAACTTCAGATGGGGTCATTCCAAGGCAAGGGACACGATAACCCAGCGTTTACAAAATAAATAACTAGGCCAGTGCTTGTCAACCTGTTCTATAGCCAGCGACAACTTTTGCCCCCTTTACCAGGCTAACATTTTTGACATGACACGGTGAAATCAGGTGCTGGTCAATTTTTTGTAAAGTCATATATTATTGTGCAGTTTTGAGTATCATCTCAAAGCGTGTCCATTTGTTACACATTAGGTAAAAAAAATTCCCATCTATCTTGAATAGAAGAAAAGATATTTGAGATTGACGGAAGTTGGAGTCCCCTGGTATCAGGGGTAAAATTAACGAAGAAGTGGGAAGCCAAAGTTTGGTGTTTTCCTAAGCCTGAGTGTTCTGGGAAACTGCAAATTTATATTTTTTGTGATGTTTTAATTTTAAAAAATTTTAAAATAAAATCCACGCAGAAATAAGTTCTTAAATTGATATAGAAGGTGTTGAGCCAAAAAAGAAAAAAGAAAAGAAATTCGAAAAATATTGGCGTACGGCCAAAAAATGCTGGTTTCCTTGATTGCATTGTTTTGACGAGCGTCTGATAACCACCACGATGCCTCACATTTTCGTATTGCTCTCGTAAATTTCCAAACGTGGCGTTAATAAATAATACCACTCTCCACTCTGCTTAGAATTACAAAGTTCTATCTGACATGTTTGTCTTTTTGAGTTACCGTACGAAGACCATGTGATCAGAATTATGTACTCTATCTGTTCTATTAAAAATCTTAAGATTATTCGGAGTCGTAATCAAGATATTCAAAGAACTGCATTCGAAAAAGCTTGACATTGTGTGAAACTCGAAACCTTTGACGTCCAATTTCTCAAACCTGGGTACTGATCAGATAGAACTTTGTAACTCTGAAGTCACGTCCTGTCGTTACCTGGGTGGTGTCCCCTGCCTACCAGAATGACGGAATCGCCCTCCAGCAGGAGATATCGCCCAGGCTGGCAAACACTGAACTAAAGGCCCTACCTTTCTTGTGTTCTTTGAGCTACACGATTCTGTATAAATATATATATATATATATAACTATGGTGCCAAAGAAAATCAGTCGTCAGCACTTTCAGTTGCAAGACTTATTGAGGATTTTCTGAAAACAAAAATGCCATGATTTGTAAAAGGACAGCGTATGCAGATTTTACCAGTTTACCGGGGAGCCCAAAAAAAAGATTGATTGTTGCTACTAAGAAAACAAACTTTTTGTAAAAATCTTATGCCAATATTATTTTTAAAAACAATTTTGATAACAACTTCCTATTATCTTAAAATCAACTGTTGTTTTATTGGTAACAGTATTCGGTTGTCGTTGTTTTTTATTTGTTTGTTTTTTGGGGTTTTTTTGGGGGTTGTTGTTGTTTGTTTTTGGGGGGGGGGGGGGGTTGGCTCTCTCGTAAAATTGTAAAAACTGCATTACATTATTTATAATATATTTTTATAATGAGGGTAGAAAATAGGTCTAGGCCTTGGGGGAGCAAAGTAACCAGCCTATGTGGGGAGATGATTGTGGAATCTTAAGATATATCAACAACAATCTGAAACGATCAACTCTTCAAACTGATGAGAAGAGGTACAGATGAGGGGCTGGGTTTATATATAAACGCAACCTGCACAGTTCCCTTTGTAAAATGTTATGAGTATTGTGGGAACTTTTACATCTTTTCATAAATTGTTTAAAAAAGAAATGATTACCCATGTTTCTTCTTTAAAAGCATCAAACTTCTTTCTTTCTTCTTTTATTCCTTAAAGTGCCAGAATATATTTACTCCAATTGATAGCAAAAAACGAGAACCAAAAGATATATTTTTCGTGATTAGATCAAAAAGAATATAAGAAAGTATTAACTATTTTTGATTAGATAACGTGAGTTCATTTCGTTTTGGGCTTGCATTTTTCCGTTTACTTGGTATGAAAATGATCAATAAGGGAATGGTTTGCAATTTCTTTTGCATTGAACATCACGGATCAGTATAGCTTATTTCGTCGTAATTTATTTAACAAGGGGAGTTTTAAAAATCATTACACTTCATTATCATAATATCACAACTGAAATGAAAGCAACAATGTGCAAATAAAGCTGTGCACTTATTCAGCTTAAGCTGATATCATCCATTCATACTCCTTTTCACAGCATTCAGGGACTCTTTGTTTGTTTGTTTGTTTTGTTTTAACTAAGTGTGGGAGAAGTCATTTATTCAGAATTTACTGAACAGTTTCAACCTGGTCACCAGCGTGATAAATAAGCAACAACCAAAAAAAGCAACAAAACAGCAATCAACAGTACAATTAAAAGTGTCGTGACACACATCCTTTAGAGGGAAATACTTGATTTGACATTCTATTGTTTTGTGTCCTTGATATCATTGGCGTCTCTAACTTTTTTTGTTGCACACTTAACAAGGGTGTCAACATAATTTTGACTCATCTTGTACTAGTACTAGGTATTTGTGAGATAGGATCAGGATATTATGATAGTTTCTTATTCTTATTGTTTGCTCTAAGTTGTTTTTGACAAGACTATTTAGGTCACGCAAAGCAGATTTAATTTATGCAACGTACGTAGTACCAGGTTTATGGCAATACGCATAAAATTACTGTTGAACCTGCTCTTACAGCACCTGTTTAAGACAATCACCTAAACGTTACTTTACTTTTCCGATCCAGCGGCCATCTGGGCTCTAGCCCTTCGGCCTGTCGATATGACAAAGAATTTTATCTCCTGAACAAACTTCCACTTCTCATTTCCTCCATCTTTTGCGTTTCTCTTCTTTATTTTTGCGTTATATTGTCACTGTGTAAGACGGACACCTGTCTAAGACGGACACTTTTATCCTCGTCATTGAGTTGCCGCCTTAGACAATTTCCACTGCACATCGCCAGAAAAAAAGCAGGACTGCCATGGCTATCACGATTACCGAACATGATATATTATATTATATTATATTATATTATAGGCCTATCAGCAATGTTTTTCTCACCAGCCGATAATCATCGTCTTGTCATCGCTGAATTCATAAGCAAAACAAAAGCGCCAATGTTACGACTCAGGACATTGATGTAGACCAATGCAGAAGAATCAGTTTCTTGTTATAGTAACGGCTCAGTGCCTACCAACATCCATGATACACACGCACAATGTATTTTATTTGCTGGGTATATGCAATATAATTTATATTAATCACTGTGTATAGATAACAGAAAAAGATGCAGGTTTTAGTAAGTAGGAAGGAGGGTAGACTGGTAGGTAAGTAGGTAGGCAAGTAGGAAAGTAGGGGGTGGGTAATATATATTATTGATAGGTAGGTAGGTAGGTAGGTGGGTAGACAGGTAGGTAGGTTGATAGGTTTGCAGGAAGGCAGGTAGGTAGGTAGGTAGGTGGGTAGGTAGGTGGGTAAGTTGGTAGGTAGGTAGGTAGGTAGGTAGATAAGTAGGTAGGTAGGTAGGTAGGT